ATATATATTTAGAATTTAATCTTATATATCACCTTATATATGTGTATATAATTACGAGCAATAATAATATTACTGTTTGCTGTAGCAAATATAGTTTGTTTCTGAATGTGGGAATCACATATCATCCTTTGAATCGGTTCAGATCAGCTTTCTAAATATCATGACAGTATGTTTCAGAGAAATAGATCTCTATTTTAGAGGCGCTCTATGAGACGTCTCATTCAGTGACATGAACTGTAAACACAGAGAGATCAGCCACTGTCACTGTTTGTCAGGTTACGCTCTCAAACAGAGGCGTGAAAATGCTGGATAAAAGATCAGTATTTGTATCAGTGCGTGCGCTGGCCTGGTTTCTTTCGCTGCCGTCTCTTTGGTGTGAGCACAGAAATAGCAGGACAACTTTGACTCATGGCTACACAGCCGAGTGTCTCTCTGTCACACTGTCACAACAAGTGCAGAACATGTTAGACGGATTCTGGCGTTAATGTTAATGTGAAGACGGATGGACCGCCTGAAGCAAAGTGAACATGTGGGGGAATTGCTAACATTGTTCTCATTACCTTGAACATACACACAAACACCCATGAGACTACAGTATATGCATACACATCAGTGCTGGATATAAATTTTAGTTTCACTATTCCGGACTTCATTTGAATAATCTGATATTTGATCTTTTCGTTAGCTTAAACATTATTTGTAGCACACCTCCTGTTCTGTAGATGTTGCTAATGTCAAAATTCCTTGACAGTTCGTCCCTTTTTTAAATGTCAATTTTTATACCAGGGCTGAATAGTTTGATGAATGCAATCAACTGCTATTTGACATTTTTGAAATTTAAAAATGTCCTCCCCTTTTTGTTATGGGGAAAAATCATACCGTAACATAGTCACAAAAAAAGTGTGGGACACAGTTATTGTATATGTTTTGGTTTAATATAATCTAATTTAATATAATCAATTGAATTAATTTCAAATCAATTTATAAATTAATAATAATAGATTTTTACTATAATATGAGAAATTTAAAATAATAAAAAATAGATTGCAATGCTGAAAAAACATTTTCAGTGACAATGTTTGGATTTGAAGTCAAAATAATGGATAAATGTTGTGTTTGTGGTAAACAGCCACGGATCAGTAGCGGACTCCTGTGTGAAAGCTGCTTCTCCTCTCACAAGAGACACCTAAGAGGGGAATTCCCCCCATTTTCAAAAATGAAATTCAGGCCCTGAATAAATGTCTAAAAATCCTGATTGGAGTATCAGTAGTAGTTATAAATGATAAAAAGAAGGCTTTAAAAAGATCGGTATCGGCAGATACTGCTTTCTGCGATCGGTGATCGGCCTCAAAAATCCTGATCGGAGCACCCCTAATTTGAACTAGGATGCTACCTATGTAGACAGCAATGCAGCTCACTGGACTTGTGAACAGATCCAATGCGTCATGGGTACTGAGAACAAATGCATATTTATTTAAGAGATTTGTCTTATTTTGTTGATGGAGACAGAGACACCAAATCCATGGTCTCTGCGGCTCTGGAACATTCTGTGTGTAGCCAGTGTCCATCCAGAACCACAGAGACGATGGATTCGATGTCTCTCAGACACACATATTGGGCTCTTTGTTTAGTTTCAATGTGGCAGCTCTTATCAGCATGTGAAAAGCCTGTTTCAGATGATACACACACATGTGAGGGTTAAATTCCAGACAGTTTCGTAATTTTTCATGGAACTTATCTCTGCTGTGTGTGTTTGCTCGTTGTGTTTCTCTCTCTGACTCATGCCTCAGTCAATGCAATCTATTATTGGGGTTTTGTAAAAATATGATTTATATTAATTATACCCTAATTATACCTCAAAGTCATTTGAGTAATTTAAAAAATAATGAATATTAAAAATATTAAACCATAAATTTGTTAATGCTGGATAAAAGATCAGTATTTGTATCAGTGCGTGCGCTGGCCTGGTTTCTTTCGCTGCCGTCTCTTTGGTGTGAGCACAGAAATAGCAGGACAACTTTGACTCATGGCTACACAGCCGAGTGTCTCTCTGTCACACTGTCACAACAAGTGCAGAACATGTTAGACGGATTCTGGCGTTAATGTTAATGTGAAGACGGATGGACCGCCTGAAGCAAAGTGAACATGTGGGGGAATTGCTAACATTGTTCTCATTACCTTGAACATACACACAAACACCCATGAGACTACAGTATATGCATACACATCAGTGCTGGATATAAATTTTAGTTTCACTATTCCGGACTTCATTTGAATAATCTGATATTTGATCTTTTCGTTAGCTTAAACATTATTTGTAGCACACCTCCTGTTCTGTAGATGTTGCTAATGTCAAAATTCCTTGACAGTTCGTCCCTTTTTTAAATGTCAATTTTTATACCAGGGCTGAATAGTTTGATGAATGCAATCAACTGCTATTTGACATTTTTGAAATTTAAAAATGTCCTCCCCTTTTTGTTATGGGGAAAAATCATACCGTAACATAGTCACAAAAAAAGTGTGGGACACAGTTATTGTATATGTTTTGGTTTAATATAATCTAATTTAATATAATCAATTGAATTAATTTCAAATCAATTTATAAATTAATAATAATAGATTTTTACTATAATATGAGAAATTTAAAATAATAAAAAATAGAATATAATAAGTAATAAGTACATTTTAATATAATAAATCAATTAATTATGAAAGCATTATAACACCGTGTCTACACCGGACGCGAGCAACGCGGCACGACGCGACATGACAAAATACAATAGAACCTATTATGCAGTCTACACTGGATGCGGCGCGGCGCGACACGAAAAATCCCAGACAGTAAACTGATGCCGCATTCTATTTATTTATACTGACACGAATTTCAAATGATTTTCAACGGTCGCTTTGTCGCGTCCAGTGTAGACAGACTTTAGCTGTTGCGGCGCGGCATGACACGACTACTGTCGCGCCCGGTGTAGACACAGTGTTAGAGTATTGTATAATTTAAATTGTTCTGTTGGGGTCAGTAATATTTGTACATGTATCACAGTTTCCACAAAAATCTTAAGCAACACAACTGTTTTCAACAGTTTGATAATGATAAGACATGTTTCTTGAGCAGCAAATCAGCACATTAGAATGATTTCATGTGAGACTGAAGACTGGAGTAATGATGCTGAAAATTCAGCTTTGCATCACAGGAATAAATTACATTTAAAATTATATTAAAATAGAAAACAGCTATTTTTAATTGTAATAATATTTCACAATATTTCTGTTTTTACCGATCAGATAAATGCTGTCTTAGTGCACAGAGAGACTTATTCCAAAAACATAAAAAAATGTACCAACCCCAAACTTTTAAACAGCAGTAAACATTTCATGCTAGATTAACATATGTTAGGTAATTTCCCGAACGTATCTAGTTCTCAAGACAATTTTATTCCTCTAATAGTTATAGGCATCAAAATGCACCATATTTGTGTGAGTGTGCAAACTCAGATTAACTGATGTCAGAATTGAATTGGAAAATCAATGCCAATACGTAAACATAGCCCTATTAGCTTTAAATAACCCAGGCATTGAAATTGACTTCAAAGACACACAGAATCACAGCACAACACAAATGTGATACTGTCAGGTGGCAGCACTATGTCTCTCTCTGTCTCTCTCTCTCTCTCATAGAGGTCAGGGTGGTCTCTGTCTGTTACAGCGTTTGCAGCAGCAGGAGGCATTGCAAGGTGAAGACACATTGGCTGTCATTGTGCTGAGCGAGAGAGAAAGAGAGGGAGACAGTGGGGAAAGGAGGGAGGTAGACAGGGAGGGTGAGAGAGAGAGAGAAGCTGCATTCTCTGGCTCACCGGAATCGCTCGTTCACACTCGCTGTTGACGGATGAGCCGTCGGTCGAGGCTGAGAGCTCGGCAGCTTGTGTCAAGCTGAGGGGAGAGCGGAACATGAACATAATGAGAACCTTCCCTCGCTTACTTTCAGATACCGGCCAGAAGAAGACGCCGGAGAAGAAGGATGGAAGGCGGATGTCGTTCCAGAGACCAAAGGGCACCATCGAGTATTCCGTAAGTGGGAACAACAACCCCTTTCCTTGTTATTTCTTTGCATGTGCTGTGTGTTATAGGCTTGTATCTTGCAGATCTCCTCCCGGCGCTGTTTACTCAGAGGATTTTTCCACATGTACCTGCGAGATTTTTGTGAGAGTTTGCACGAGGACTCTGTGTGTGTGTGTGTGTATCCACAGGGATGATTTGAGAGCAAGTGTGCATGAAGCCGTGCGAATGTTTACATCAGCCTGTTTATTTTCACCGGTCTGCATGCGTTCCAGCAGAGTATTGCTGAATGACCTTCCTTTCTGCGTTTGCATTTCTATTGATTTGACGAGCGTGTGTGCCAAGTGAGAGAGACCGTGTGAGCTTCGATTGTCTGTCTTAACAGCTTGTTGTGTTCTTGAAATGACCCTCAAATTCCAGCTGCGGGCAGAATGCTTCTCATCTCTCTCCCTTGTAACGTAGGAGCGTGTGGGTTGAGCTGAGATCTGGAGTTCTGCCTGGAAGTGGAAAAAGACAGAGGAGAGGAAACTGCTGGCAGCTAGAGCTGTCATTTAGCCAGAAGATTGGAATCATACTGCTTTTTCACCAAAAATGGTGCTGGTGCTGCTGCCGGAGCTGGTGCTCACTCAGGGAATCTGATAACATCTCTCAGAAGCAGCCAATGTTTTTGACTTAGATGAACTGACTAGGTCACTGTCTTTGTTTACAAATCTTACGAGTTTTGAAAACATATTTTAACATTCAAAGTAGAGACGTGCAAAGTCAACTAGTCAGGGCTACCTGAATTTAAAGACACAAAGTTTAAAACACAGCATGTTGTCAGCATGCTGTTGAAAGCACTGTAGCTAAAAATATTAAAACTAAATATATGTATAATAAGAATAACACCAAGTTAATCAAACTTGATTTTTGATTAGTAGCATTGTGACCTATCCCTAATCTTAAGTCATTTAACTAAGCGTCTTTTTGATATCAGAGGTTTCTTTCATATATATAGTTTGAAATGTATATTATTTTTGGGTGGGTAAGATTTTTTTAATGTTTTTTAAAAGTCTAGTGCTCACCAAGGTTGCATTTATTTAATTAAAAATACTGTAAAAATATAAATGTTGTCTAATGTTATTACAATTTAAAATAACTTTACTTCTATTTTAATATATTTTAAATGTAATTTATTCCTGTGATGGCAAGGCGGAATTTTCAGCATAATTACTCCAGTATGTAGTGTCACATGATCCATCAGAAATTATTCCAGTATGCTGATTTGCTGCTCAAGAAACATTTTGTATTATTATCAATGTTGAAAACAGTTGTGCTGTTTTATATTTTTGTGGAAATCTCATTTTTTCAGGATTCTTTGCTGAATAGAATGTTCAAAATAACTCAATTTAATTGAAGTACATTCTACAAACTATTCAGTTGTTAACTTCTAGTAGACTAATCAACCATTGTGATCAATTATAATTGTGTCATTGTGACTTAATCATTTAATTCCACATCTTTTTGATGTCATGAGTTGCTTATGATGCAGCAGACATTGTTTACATATACAGCAAATAAAAAATTCAGAGCAATTCATACAGATATGTGAAATCTCAATGATATTAGTTTGTTTGAGACTAACTGTGAAAAAAGGGGCATCAGTTTCGGTTTAAAACTGGCATCAGGTAGCTGTGGGATTGGATGCTGGTGTAGTTGACGTGCTGCTGCTGTTGCTGTCACGGTTTTGTTTCCACACGGTTCTGCTCTCCCCTCGGATCTGAGCAGTTGTCTCACACCCGTCTCCCCACAACTCACGCTGAAGATCCGTCTCTGTCGGCCAAAAGTGATTAACAGGACCTTTGTTTTCCTCCGCAGAGCGTGAAAAGTGTGCAAGACGACAGCGGGGCATTTGTCACAGGGCATAAACAGCGTGTCATGAGGCTATTTGTGGCGGTTGTTGGTGAGGGGTGTGGGGGTTAACATGAGAGAGATGGCAGATATGGCACTCATATCTCAGTCTTCCAGCTTGCCTTGCAGTCTTCCACTCCAAACCACACCACACCGCTGCAAGATGGAGTGATGGATGTGATTTTGAGAAGATGTTTGGATAATTATTGGACATGATGCATGACCCTGAACACACAAATCATCTTTAAATGGATAGCTCATCCAATAATCTATATATGAATATTCTGTCATCATCCTCTTGTCGTTCCAAAAATGCCTTTCCTTTTTTGTGGCTTCATTGTTTTTATCCATACAATGAAAGTCAGTGGGTCTTAGTGTTGTTTTGGACCCCACTGACTTTCATTGCTTGGCAGTTTAAAAATTATTTGTAAATGATGACAGTGTTTTCATTTTGGGACACTTTCTGAAAAACTGCCTCCATTATTGTGAAAGCCTCGCCTCCTGCCACAGGTAATTGTCTGCTCTTTTCTCAAGAAGCAGTCTTGACCTCAGGAGGCGTTGAAGGAGAGCTAAACTGTAGCCCAACTGCTCAGTCACTAATAACGCTCTGCGGGTCAGCGGGTTCTCGCCATTGGCTGGTCTGTGGCCAATTAAAGTGGTTGGACTCCAGGAAAGAGTGAGAGAGATTGAGATCTCATTGGAGAGAAACAGTAAGGATTCAGCATCTGCTTTAATGCTTCCTGAGTCTGTTGATTTCTGCAGCAGTCTGATTCGGCTGGAGTCATTGTGTCACATTGAGTCACAGCACTGAAGCTTATAGTCTCATTATGCATGATGCATACTGTGCACAAAGATGAGATAAAACATGAGATTTTATCACATGGCCGAGCTGTTTTAAATGCTTTTAGGGTGAATGTTTGTGACCAGGCTCACCAGTTGCCCCTTGACATCCTGCTGACATTTGCCAAAACAGGCTATTGGGACATTGAAGACACCTCGAGCTGGTACAAAAGTACTTTGGAGATGCAGTGGTTTCAGATATTTACCATAGTATTGAATGATTGTCATATTCATGTACCATGGTTTTTCAAAGAATACCATAGTATTACCATGTCTAAAGCACGGTTGATATTTCCATGGTGATTTTTTTGTAAGCGCTGGCTCATTTACGTCCTGCGAAAGAGAGAACGCCAACATCTTGCCAAGACTGCTGAGCTAAAATTAGTTCTTTAAGTGATCATCGACGCAGTTAGCCAGCTTGTGCCATGAGGGTAGTAATGACGGTGTCACTATGGCAACTCTCATGCCACGGCAGCCGTGATGTCCCACGCAGTATGGAGCTTGTCTGATTTGACATTCTGTCTGATTGTACCGTTTGCTGGAATGTCATTTCCAGTTTGATGAGCTGTGTGTTCTGTACTAGTGTGAATCCCATGAAACCAAAAACATGCATGGATCGTATTTCACCCCAAAAGAAAGAAGTAATTATGTTTTACATAATGAAAACAAAGGTTATTATAGGAACAAACTAAAGTTTTTGCATTGTAAAAGTATTTTTATAACAATTATCATTACCGAAATGCAAAAAAATTTGTTTTAATTTTTGCCATGCAAAAGAAGATTGATATAGTTATATAATATATACATATTATATAGTATATAGTATATATACATATACGCCGGCAGCCATATCACCCTGTAGCCCAGTAAAGCGCTTTGAGTGCCTAGAAAAGCGCTATATAAATGTAATGAATTATTATTATTTATTATTATATATTGTACTTTATTTATTTATTTATTTTATTTTTGGGGGGAAATGTAACCTGGAAATGTGACCTTAATTGTTATGAAAATAATTCACGATCCAAAAAAATCTTTACAAATAAACACATTATATACAGTATCTATCTATCTATCTATCTATCTATCATCAATATATATATATATATATATATATATATGTATATATATATATATATTAAATCGCATGCGTTAACGATGACAGCCCTAATATATATATATATATGTGTATATATATATAGATATACAGATATAGACATAATAGATAAAAGATCAAATTTGTTCAGGAGTGTATTTGTATATAGCAGGTGCGTTTGCTGGATTCTAATTGGTTTAGACAGATTGATTATAATTTTTTTGTTTTTACACATTTAAATATGAATAGAAAATAAATTAGAAGGGACATAATGTTGTGTAATAAAATGTACAAGTAGAGCACTGTAATAAATAATACATACAGACATGAATGTGGTTGGACTTGAATATGGCTTCTGATGAGATATGTGAGAACTTGTGAAAGCTGCTCCCAGCTTTAGGGTGGTGTAAGAGCTAAACACTGTCTTGTGATGTTTGGTACCAACCCTAGACATAACTAGTCTTGATCCTAATGACTTAAGAGATTGACGTCTCTAAATTCAGAATGGGTGAGCCACGTTTGAAGCTGTTGTAAAATGTGCCTCTGCCTGCAGATTCTATTAGTGTCAAGTAGCTAAACAGCAGCGTATAGTTATAATAAAGAAGTATACTACTTGCTGGAAGAATTGTTTATGTAGATTATTAACCTTGATACTCATATGTGTCAGGAAGCCAGTGTAAGGACTGATGCGCTCTGATGTTTCTTTACTAGTTGTACATATCTTTGCGTTCATTTATAGTTTTATTGTTGATTCTGCTGTTGAAAGAAGGAACCTTGAGTCGCCCAGGACTGATGCGCTCTGATGTTTCTTTACTAGTTGTACATATCTTTGCATTCATTTATAGTTTTATTGTTGATTCTGCTGTTGAAAGAAGGAACCTTGAGTCGCCCATGTCTGGAAAATGTGGAGTTTGTCTAGACTGTTCTGATGCCTCTTACTGCTGCGTGTGTCTTTTTTCCGAGCAGAAGCGACTGGCAATGGCTGTCATCTCTACTGGCACTGCTCGTGTTGTATATTGGGTGATATTTTTATCCACGGCTGCCTTTAGAAAGAGGACGACAGACCTCAGCGGGACTTCCTGCTAAAGTCTGAGATTGAATTAGGAGGGAAAAAACACGGGCGCGAAGGATAGAGCACGTCTAGACTGCAGAGAAAATCATAAATTCACCATCTAACAACTACAAGCATTAGTGTCCAGTGAAGGCAGGTTGTGTTTGCTCTGAAATGAAGCGTCCAAAGCTACAAATAAATAGCCCACGGAAAAAACGTTTTCAAATGGTTCTCACAGGGAATCAATGTTCTGTGCCAGACAGACTGGATGAAAGGACGCCGCTTGCGTGGGGGCATTGGGAATATCGACTGTTGAAGTTCCCATCTGGAGACGACCAGAAAACTTCTGTGCAAATTCAGGGGTTGGGGGGGGGGTTCTTTCATTCTCTAAGGGGCCATTTAAACGACAACGTTTTCAGCCAAAAACGGAACACTTTTTATGCGTTTTGACTGTTCGTTTACACGACAACGGCGTTTTGGGGACTGAAAATGCTAATTTTTGAAAACGGGTTTCAAAGTGCAAGTTTTTGAAAATGGCACCGTTATCGTTTCCGTGTGAAAACCCAAAACGGGAATCTTTGAAAACAGTGACGTCATGCGCGTGCATAGTACGTGTTAGGTATGTAGACATGCGCAGTACGTGTCGATTTTAAAGGCAAGCACGAACAAACATACACAACAGTGGCAGAGTATATAGTACTGTTGTTGCTGCTCAAGAGTTTGCTAACGCTTCTTCAGCAAAGTGTGGATTTACTTCAATATTACAACCAACAGCGGAGACGCATCATAGACATCATAAAATCGTCACTTCCCTACAGGTACTGTTTACTAACAAGGTGACAGCGCCAACTACTGGCCTGGCATATGTAATACAGCGTTTTTGGCAATTTTCGTGGATATGTGTAAACGCGAATCGTTTTGAAAACGTTGTCGTGTATACGTGAAACTTTTTAAAAACACAAGGGTAAAACTTTTCCGTTTTTGACTACACTGTTGTCATGTAAACGTAGCCTAAGAAAAACAACTAGCAGAAGTCTGATTCAGAGTAGAAATGGCATTGGATATGCTGATGTTTTTTACTGTCTGATGTTTGGGAAACTCTGTGTGATTGCGTAAACCATTTCAGTCATAAAGAAACGTGTTTATTTTATGTGTTTTCTCTGAATTGTCCTTTTAGGGCCCGTTCACACAGGATGCGCTCTTGTGTTCAAAACACAAAGTTTAAGTTTTTCAAAGTTAAACTTCTTTTAACTTGATGTTGTTTCTCGAAAAAACAGAGCTCATGCTGCAAGATGCTGAAAAAAATTTGTCACAACGTGGTGTTCATGAAGAAGCTGTGCCTTTGTTTAGTGAGAAGTGATTAAAGGGTGAGTTAAGCAAAAAATGTCAATTTTGTCATCATTTACTCACCCCCCCCAAAACCTGTATGATTTTTTTCTTCTGTGGAACGCAAATGTAAATGTTTAGCTTGCATTCTTTTCAGGCTAAACTCTGTGTTTGTGTCTCTTTGATCTGACCATCTCACTGTCCTCCTCACATGAGAGACTCATGAAATAGTAAACAGACAGACTATGAACTATGTAGAATCCTTTACATTAAGTCATTACCTACAGTATAATGGTCTGACTATCTGAGCTCAGATGTTTATGTTTAGAGGACTGTAATGTGGTGGTATGGAGAGTACAGGAGGAATTTAGCATGTCAGTGTTTTGTAGAATTCATCATGCAGCAATAAGTTCCACACAAGATGTGCAAAACGGGAAGAATATGTTCACACCATGCAACATTTCTCTTGTTGTTAGGTTTTTGTCCTCTCACTTTCTTTTAGTGTCAAACAGAAACTTTTTTTCTCAAATTTAAGCCAGCTTTTCACCCTCTGTGACTTTTATTTTATTTTATTTTACTGGATAGTGCTGGTTAACATTTTACAGTAGTAGTAGGTGTTTAGAATAAAGTTCAATAGAAAAAAAACTTAATTCGAAAACGTAACTGAATAGCAGCTTTATGCTATCTTTCAAAATGTTGAGGTCATTAAGTTAAATTTTTTTAAACAAAATACTTTTATTCAGCAGTGATGCATTAAATTGATCAAAAGTGAGATCAAAAGACATTTATAATGTTACAAATGATTTCTATTTCAAATAAATGCTGTTCTTTTGAACTTTGTATGTATTTATCAAAAATGTAAAGAATGTATCACAGTTTCCACAAAAATATGAAGCAGCACAACTGTTTCCAACACTAATAATAATAAGAAATGTTTCTTGAGCAGCAAATCAGTATATTAGAATGATTTCTGAAGAATCATGTGACACTGAAGACTGGAGTAATGATGCTGAAAATTCAGCTTTGCATCACAGGAATAAATTACATTTTAAAATATATGTAAATAGAAATTTGTTATTTTACTGTATAGCTTTATTGCTATATTACTGTTTTTAGTGTATTTTTACTGAATTTATTGTGTTTTTGATCAAACAAATGCAACCTTGATGAGCATTAGAGACTTCTTTCAAAAGCATTCAAAATTTTACCGACCCCAAACTTTTGAGTGGTAGTGCACAACATACACCTTGTGTAGACCGAGAGGAACCTAAAGAAATGTCTTCGCAACAATGTCATACACAACAATGGCAGAGTATATAGTACTGTTGTTGCTGCTCAAGAGTTTGCTAACGCTTCTTCAGCAAAGTGTGGATTTACTTCACCAATATTAAAACCAACAGCGGAGACGCATCATATACATCATAAAATCGTCACTTCCCTACAGGTACTGTTTACTAACAAGGTGACAGCGCCAACTACTGGCCTGGCATATGTAATACAGCGTTTTTGGCAATTTTCGTGGATATGTGTAAACGCGAATCGTTTTGAAAACGTTGTCGTGTATACGTGAAACTTTTTTAAAACACAAGGGTAAAACTTTTCCGTTTTTGACTACACTGTTGTCATGTAAACGTAGCCTTCCTCTTCTCCTTTCTCCTCGTTTTTTTTTTTTTTTTTTCATGTTTTTTGTTCTTTTGTTGTGCAGGTGGATTCGCGGGACACTCTGAACAGTATCGCGCTGAAGTTTGACACAACTCCCAACGAACTTGTTCAGCTCAACAAACTCTTCTCCAGAAATGTGGTCCCTGGTCAGGTGTGTATTTCCCATTGAATATCCTATTTCTTGTTTTTTAGTTTAGTTTAGTTTTAGGTATTTTAGATCATTTTTAAGCTACTGTTGTTGTTTCCAATAGTCACACTAACAAAAATCACACACACTACTGAATTCATGGCAGGTTTTCTTTGCAGACTTTCATTTCAACGCTTCACTCCCTCACCATTAGATCTCAGCCAAGTGTTAGACAAAGAATCAATCTCTCACTGTTTAATATACTGTAACAGCATATCAATTATTGGCCAATATGACATTTAACCAGATATTATCTCTCAGGTAGATGGAGTGATTAATGACTTCTCTTTTCTAGCCAGTGCATGAGCAGTTATGAAAGATCTCTTGCTAAACAGCTTCAGTATTGCTTCATCATCTCCTCACAAATTCATGTTAAGCAAAGCTGAAGTCTGGATCGTTGATATTCACGTGTCAGCGACCGCAGTAATGAGAGGGTAATAGATAGAGTCAGGCGCTGGAGATGGTCGACCGTCCTGTCACAGTACAGCTGGAGGGCTCTCAGCGTGGATCACGTGACCAAACTCAGTGGCTTCTTCCATTAGCGTAATCCTCCCAGCGCTTCGGCCCGCTGAACAGCCCCTCCACACTGACTCCACTGCCCTGCAAACTACCACGAGTGGAGCCTGTTCTGTGTTCAGAGATCTGAGGAGCACCGGGAGAGATCATGTTTCATGCAGTGAACTTTGAGAAGTTTAATCACTGATTTCTTCCCTGTACTTTAACAGTTTGGGGTGGAAGAATTTAAAACATTTAATAAAAAAAAAGTGTGTATGTGAGTATTTGTGTACAGGAGAGTGTGACAAAATTACCATGAGAAGTTAGTTAAATCTGACAAAACCCCTAATTGCTGACAATGATTTGACCAAATAAATAAAAAGAATAAATAATAATAGTAAAAATATATATAATAAAATAAAATACTAATAATAAAATACTCATTTTTAGAAATCTTTTATATGTTAAATATATTTTAAATTAAACATTTTAAACTGTTTTCATTTTTTATATTTTAAAATATCCAATTAATTTCAATTAATTTGTTGATTTAATATGACAGAATCAGGACAGATTTGTTCTATTGCAGCTTTAAATTTTAAAAACTATAACATTTATTTGAAAAAGACTGAAATAAATGAACTTTTCCACGACATTCTAATTTATTGAGATGCACCTGTATACGCTCATTTTTAAATTCAATTACATATTTTTAAAATATTTTTTTGGAAATTGTTTTTATTTTTATTTTTTCAATATGCTATTAATTATCCAATAATGGATTGATTTAATATTAAAGACAGATTCAGAACAGATTTGTTATTTTTCAGCTTCAAATAAAAAAAAAAATTTAGAATGGAATTTTTTTTACAGATTATTTATTTATTTAAAATGTCGAGTCAATTATTATTTTTTTTGTTCATTGACATTATGACCTTATTTTTTATTTATCAATCATCAATTGACAGCCCTAATAAAAAATAATAGAAGTCTTGGTTAAACACCTTAACATGTACAATGGATAATAATTTTGATAAACTTTTGTCTGTGTGTGTATTTGACTTTTTTGGCTTTTACATTTGGGGACAACTTAAATTATTCTGGCAAAACTTTTTTTTAAGACTTCCTCAAAGGTAAAAATTATGAAGTAATGCATTTAAAAAATTAAGGTATAAAAAGGCAAATTTTTAGCCGGTTTTATTTTAGCAGGTCAGGGTTAGTTGTAGTAATTGTATGAAAATTGTGGCTTTATATATAAACAGTACAGGTACAGTTTGTCCTCATTTACATAACTAGATCAGTGCATGTGTGTGAGTAGTGAGTGTGCGTCCATGCATGCAGTAACTTGCTGGTGTTTGTGAAGCGTTACGCTGCGGTTGTGTTTGCAGGTCCTATATGTGCCTGATCCGGACTACGTGTCCAGTGTGGGCAGCTCTCCCTCCTTCAGTCCCAGCAGCCCGCTCTCTCCCACCTCCTCAGAAGCTGACCTGGAGAAAGTGAGCAGGGTATGTGACATTTCCCACTTCACACCGCACAGCCTCATCATTTAACCTGTGCTCTGGAGGGACTCTCACACAATCATACAGCATGCCATAAGTTCACACTGAAGGATCTCTGGGTATTTTCCATAAGCCTATGTGTCTTATCCTTTCTGGTTTACAGGAATCATGTGAAAGAGAATTAATGGTGAACAGTGAAATCATGAGCCGACAGCTTGAGATGCTGCTGTTCATTGTTAGTCAGGAAACTTTGTGCATTGTTTTCCATCAGCTGATAGGAAGAATGCCAGTGTTGCAGAAAAGCTCTCCATTATGTTGTTGAGGTATCCGTGTGTTTGTCTGTCAGGATGAATAGGAGCTGTAATTGTTTAAAAAATTAACTTAAGGTCAACACGTTTCGCTTTAAAGCTTAAGTGTGTAAGATTTTGTTAAAATACCCATAAGTATCCCAGTTTAATCTGCAGAGACAACTAGAAGTAAGTGTTCAGGAAAACTATTTGAAAACAGTCATTGCGTTTGCAATTCAGTTTGGTAAATACATGGCAAATTACACAATTAACTTGAAATACTGCAAATATATCACTGTTGATCTAATAGTTACAAAAGAAGGACAGATGGGTACATAAAATATTTATACAACACAAATGGATGTACCTCTGTAAATTTGCTTTTGAACATGAGATCACCTGGCTCAAGACTGTGGTTTTTCACTGTCAAACATGATATTTACACACCCTCTGTAATCAAATACCTGCCATGAGCTGTGTTGACTTGCCCTCATTCTTAGAAGCACTTCATCTAAATCCCTAAGAAATGAGCCATTTCTGGTGTGGTGAATAGGACTGGGCGATAGAGAATTTATCAAATGTAATCAATATTTAAGAATTTGCTCTAAAATGTCTTAAAGGGTATTTTCCCCCTCCAGTCAAAGCAACCATCAATTAAAATGACTAAAAAATATTCAAAATGTTTAATGCAAGACAGCTAAAATACCATAAAAATCTTGACACAAAACAAAATGTTAATTAACAGAGATATACATATTTACAATGATATGATTATGATGTAAAAATTACATTATTTTATATATTATATGCATATATTTTTTTAAAAGCAATTACACACACACATATAATGCATATATAATTAAATAAATATTTTAAAAGTATAATGACACTCATTAGAAAAATATAAATATATATGTACTTATATTAATAAATATATGTTTATTATTAATTAAATATAGTTAATTTATTATATTTTACATGTAAAATATATATATTTAAAAAAATATCTATTTAAAAATTAAAATATATTTTTAAAATATAAATAAAAAACGTATAATGACTCACTCTTGTCACTAGTTTAATGTCTAATGACAATAAGAACTTAATGGTCAAAGTGCAACATTACAATTTACCTATCAGTAAGCCCCTCCCCTCGAACGCAGATGAGCCAATAGCAGTTGAGTATCAGTTGCACGGGGACCGGAACTCGGACATCTTTAGGTTTCAGCGCCATAGAGAAACATTGGAAGATCCAAAGCTTTCATTCGTTTGATGGCAAAACGACGTGCCTGGAGTACTTGTAACACTGATTCCATGTATCCTGAGAGGATGGGCAATGGAATTTATTTTACTCCATTTCCTAAACCCAAATAAGTCCCTAAGCATTCAACCCCAATCCCAATGAAGATGAAAACGTTCATTTTCTGGTTGTCATACTCTCATTAAATTACTATTTTCATCTGCTCAAGCAGAACGTTAATGTCATTTTGTGCTGCAAGCTATCTCTGGCTAAAACTAGCTATTGTTAAATTTAGCGAGTCCATATAACGTACCAACCTAAATATATAACTGTTCTCATGTCATGTACAGTGTAGGTCAAAAACATATAAACGAAGATCTACATTTCAGTGCCTCTCCATATTAAACTGGTTAAATGTAAATTAATTTAATCGTACCCTGCGGTACATGAATATTGTTGATCCTGGATGTTGTCATCTGCGATCGTGACGACCGTAACATGAGGTGTCTCCTGCTTGCATTGTGATCTGTAAACCCTTGCTTCCAAATTAATTTTGTTACCCACCATATTTATTTTAAAATCTTTTATATATCCCTCCATAGCATATTTAAGTCCCACTTGAATGGTGGTCCGTGTTTCCAAAATTTTCAAAAACATCTTGGGACAAGGTTTTCACTCTGACAGCTGTCATTGTGAGACAGTGAGCAACTCCGTTTGTTTGTCCGAGTTAGCAACAGTAACTAAGGGGGACGGGGCTTACCGATAGGTCAATTGCTTATTTTATATTGTTAGGGAAAAAATTTGAATATTCTATTACTTCCCAGCCTTAGTGGTATAGCATCTCTTCTCTTTCCTGTGGAGTAACTGTGCTCGTGTTACATGCTGTCAGTAGGTTTGCTGTTGAATTTCTGTTTTGTAGTAAAAGGCTTTACCTTCAACATCTTATAAAGAAGAGGCCGCTGTACCTCACTGCCTCTTGGTCTCCATAGTGACTGCTGCGACGGTACCCTTTGCAAACCTGCCCACTTGTGCACTGAGCCTTAGACGCTCCTTTCCCTTTGGTTTCTTTCACACATATACAGAGTTCTGGCATGAAACTCTAGATGGACAGAGTGTCAAGGGGTAGGGGTGAAAATATTCCCCTAAGAATTGGGACACCACTACTATACCGTCACACATCATCATACGTCGTCTAGCTCCTACAATAAACACACCTATACTGTTGTGCTGGTGTGCATTAGAGCCTTTAATTACCGTTCTTTGTTAATGCGCTGCTTACTGACACACACACACACACACACACATCGGAGATCGCGCAGCTCACACATCCAGGAGCAAAGAAACTTGTCAACACTGCCCCACGACTTTTATTAATAACAGTTTAAATACTCGCTACAATATATTTTCCAGCAACAAGAGGATATAATCGCTGTTTTTGAAGTAAACTCACTCACTGTAAAGAGAGACGCACAGACACGCATACACGCAACTTGTCTTGAATTGGCAGTATCTGAGAAAAAAGTTTAGCGATTTCTAATTATATGTCTATGGTGGTTATCGCCCAGATCAGATATGAAAATATGTTGTGGTACTATCGTGCAGTCTGTAATGACATGACGTTAGTAAATTTAAGCGATATTTTGCACCCATTTCTTAATATGACCGTAAATATGAACACACAGTTGAATGTAATATAAAACAAATGATTACTTTTCATTAAAATCTTTATTAATGCCAATAATGCTTACATTTATGTGTCTTTTTGTTCGCTCGGGCAGCCATGTTGCCGCTGTAGCCGGTTTATGCTGAGATCATTCATACCCCTTCGTTTGAAGTGTGGTCCCGAAAAATCTTCATTTGAAGGGCTATCTGGCCTTTCCCCTTACCCCTACCCCTCCAACCAAAAGAGAATTGAGACACCCTTACCCCTTCACGTGAACGCGCGAAATGGAGGGGTAGGGGAAAGGGGAAGGGCTAGAGGGGTAGAAATGGGATTGGGCCTTGCTCTGCCGCAGCAGCAACAGCAGTGTAGCAGATTTATTCCGATATATTTATTTAAGACCAAATACATTAACATTGTCATGTACATTACCATGCCAATCCCTCCGAGAGTTGTCATGACAGAAATCTATTTAGACCATTGATCTGGGAAAAGGAAGCTGTGATCTGTTTAGCAGTCTGAGACAGGTGCTTTACTGGGATGTAAAATAATATAGTATGCAAAATATAATACAGTGCATCCAATAAAATGTATATTCATTTTGAGATGTAATTATATTACAAATAGAGTTACTTTAAGTGAGCATAAGATGATGGCAAAAACAATTTTAGCGTAAAAATAATACAGATAAATTTTGTACAATTAAATATAGAATAATGACAGATATATATCAAAACTAAAAAAAAAATAATAGTAATTTTTTTTTTAAATCACTAATATCATAGCTACTTGGGGTGCTTTCACACTTGGTTCAATTGCTTGGTCCGAACCCAAGTTCGATTGCTCCCCCCTCCCCCTGCCCCCGCTGGACTGTGTTCACATTATATTATTTGTGTCCGAACCGCGGTTCGTTTGCGTCATCAAGCCAGCAGCTGTTTACCCCGTTGCTTAGTAACGATGGCGCAGGAGAAGACGGCAAAATGCGTAGCATTGCTCTCTTCAATTTTATATTTATGCTTTTGAACCATAGTTTTTTTTTCCAAAGCTTCAGTACATAACAGCAGTTACGTCTGCCTTACGAATGTACTGCAAATGCTCTAAAGAACTCTGAAGGCGAACAGAAATGAGATATACAGCTCTCTGCTTGCAGCTCGTCAGGAAAGTGAGTGAAACACAAACACACATTTTTATCAAATAATACATCATTAATAGCGGTTCACTTCTGTGATTTGGTACGATTGCATTCACATCAGCAGCAAACCGTACCGGAGTTCACTTGAACCGTACCCCAGACCACCCTTTTTAAGCGGACTCGGGTACAGTTCGCGGGTGCGCACCCGAGTTCGGAAGACCGTGTTCACATCATCCAAACGAACCGAACTCTTGACGTCAATCGAACTCAGGTGCGCACCAAAAGTGCTAGTGTGAAAGCACCCTCAATATATGATCTTGTGTTGCCTCAGTACTCAAGGTGGTGATATATTACTTTCAAATGTCTGTGCAATTAAACTAAATAGTTAATTAATTATTAATCAGGTAGCTAACTGTAAACATACTGTTAATTAACTTGCTTATAACGATTGTGTGACGGACTGGACATGACAATTGAGATCCAAGTGCAAGCTTTTATTAAAACAGATCGTGGTCAAAAACAGGCAGGGTCCAACACCAGCAAACAACAGTATCCGAGGCATGACAAAAAGTAATCCAAAAACAAGCAATGGTCAGGGCAGACAGCAAACAATCACAAAAACAATGAAACACTCCAAGGTCCAAAACTCCAAGGTAAACATGTAAAACGCCCAGTAATGTCCGCAAA